AAAAACAGAAAAAAGTTTTTTAAAAGTGGTTTTTTAGAATAAATATGTCTTTAACCAAAAAAGATTCTAATACTTGTAATAAAAACTTTGTTGCTGTTCTAACAAATTATATATATTTTTAGATGCCTTTCCTTTTTACTTAGACTACTTTGTATTGTTTTCTATACCTAAAAGTGTTTTATAACTAATTTTCCTTTTGGCGCAATTTGGTGCAAATGATTAGCGAAGAGTGTTTTTTGATTTTTTTGCTTTTGTTATATATTGTATTAGTATTAAAACAAATGTAGTATTGTATCATTATCAATAAAATCAATTATTTTTTAAACAAAAGTAAAAATCACAGCTCAAAATACGTAGGCTTGGCAAAATTTTATTCTCGAGAATAATGTACCAAACAAAACATTATAAAATTTTTTTGGTTGCATCAAAAACATTTATTTTCATTAATGGTTTAGATTATAGATGTTGGTGAAATATGGTGAAATGTGGTGAAATAATTTCACCACTATTGGTGAAATTGATGGTGAATTGGTGAAATTGGTGAAATTAATTTCACCAGCATCTATAGTTTAGATTATTTCGATTATATTTTACTATGGTATGCCAAGTCACTTCTCAAAAAGTCAATAAAATCTTAAGTTTTAAATATTTTTTAAAAATGTAACCAATAAAAACTATTATTTTTTTAGTACTATCCAAATTACCAGTTAGAAATTTTATAAAAGTTTATGAATTAAAGTTATAAGTGTTTAAAGCTATTATGTTTTCAAAATTTTGGCATTTAATATAAAAAAGTTAAAAATTTTTTTTACAATTTTTTTTATCCAATCAGAATTAGTATATAACGCATTCTGATTGGCTAAAAAGCTAATGTGAAGTGACTTGGTGCACTATAGCAAAAAGTGCATTAATAGATAAAGTAGCGTGATCTAATTTATCCAATTAAAGATGGATTTTACACGTTTAATCACAACTTGGAGGTGCTCTTCTTAGTATGAATTTTTATGAATTCCAAATCAACTTTTATAGCAATGAAATTCTAAAATGATTCAATTATTTAATGCTTGGATTAATGTGCTAAATTAGTGCGAATGATTTAAATAAAATAAAATTTAGTAGTAAATATTCACGAACTTTGATATCTCATTTTAATATTTTTTAATGTACAACATTTTTTATACTCAGGCACTAAATTAAAATAAGCTACTAGTAAATACTCATAGGCATTAATAATCCTCAGGTTTATAGATGTTGTTACGGGGTGAATCGTATTCTTTTAATAAGATAAACATGAAATTATATGATAAAAATACTTGAAATTTAATATATTAATTTTTAAGAAAAATTTTTATATAATCAAAAGAAAAACATATTTTAGATGATAAGGCAACTCGCCAGAGGCGTGATGATAGTGATTTGACAATAGTTTAGTTTTAAAATGAATTTATTAAGGTGATTTATTCAATGTATTGTATAAGTTATATTAGAATCCCGTAGAATAGGATATTCTTTACAAGAGAGAAATTACAAGATTTTTATAACTTTAACTAAACTAATAGACTAAAGAGGCTTAGGGATAAATCAGATCTTTCATCATGAAAGAATCAAGGAGAAATCACTATAACTAAGGGCTTACAATAATAAGTACAACATAATTATAATAATGAAGACTTTGCTTAACAATATTTCATATTATAACTACTTCTAACTATTTCTTGATTCTCTCTTTAGATTTCTTAAATTTCAGTCTTTCTTCTTATGCGTTCAGGTTCTTCAGATTTCGCATTGGTTATGAGGCTAATTTGGCCGAGGAGTTATTATTTATCTAAGCCTTAAGATAAATTACAAACCTGTTTACCAGTTTTTTTCAGCCGATAAGCCTCAACCAATAAACCAGTATTCTTGTATTAATTGCTTCTTAATCACAGGTTTACTACACCAATTTCATCGATCTACCTTTTAGCTCGTGACAATGTTCTTTATGCTTATGCTCTAAACTAATGCAAATAAAATGAACAAAGTGTTATTTAAATACTCGTGGCATTTATAAAAAATCTAAACTAAGATTTGGTCAATTTTCTGATAATATATTATAATTTAGAACCACTATTGCGAAAAATGCCTGTAAGCCAAGAACATAGCTTGTCAACATTTCTAATATTTGCAAATGCTAAGTAAAACTTTAATAAATATTTTGTATACCAATTTTGGACACCTAAGCAATCAAATTCGGACATATTCAGACATTATAGCAATCAAGTAGCAATCAAATTCGGACATTTAGGTGTCCGAAATTGGTATATAAAACCTGTATATACCTGCTAGTGCTTGCTAATTCATTGCAAAAATATAAAGACCTGACCCGGGTGATACTTAAACTATTATAAGTTTGGGAAGATTTAAAATTCCGACTCATCTTATATGTACTTAGAATCAATTTATGCTGATTCTAAATCTATGAAGATTCTATTCTAACATACATTTACATAAGCTACACATATCTTTATATTTCTAAATCACTTAAACTCCAAGCTCTTTATATAGAAACCCTTGTTTTTTATTTATATTTATTTATTGACTTATATGTAATGCGGAGTAATCTGTAATACAATGGCACATCAAATATTTCCTAAATTATCGACTTCAATAAGGTGTAGGTTTTGAAATTTAGAGTTACTTATAAAAAAATTGGGCCACTCGAAAATGATACAAGGCTCTAAAAAGCATTTAAGTTATTTAAATAGTGAATTCAGAATTTCGTTCTTTCCCTACATTTTAAAAAGCAAAAATGAATCATGATAATCATGAAAAATCAACTGATTTAGATCCTTATACCCTTGGATACAATTATCAAAATGGAATAGGAGTTGAAAAAGATGAACAGAAGGCATTCGAATATTATCAGAAATCCGCGGAGATGGGTGATGCTACTGGAATATATCATGTTGGAAGATCCTATTTTATTGGAATGGGAGTTGAAAAAGACGATCAGAAGGCATTCGAATACTATCAAAAATCTGCGGAAATGGGTAATGCTGATGCGATATATCAAATTGGATATTGTTATCAAAATGAATTAGGAGTTGAAAAAGATGAACAAAAGGCATTCGAATACTATCAGAAATCTGCGGAAATGGATCATGTTGTTGCAATAAATGACCTTGCAAGTTGTTATAGAAATGGAATTGGAACTGCAAGAAACATACGACGTGCGAATGATTTGTATAAAAAGTAAATAATATTCTATTATAAACCTTTTTTTCAATTGATCTTTATTAATTTTTAAATTCTAATAGAGAAAGAAGTATAAAGAGTATGTGTGTACACTTTATTTGTTTACTCATTTTCTAGTCAGAACTAATTTAATAGAAATTTTTTCAGAAATAATTAAATCATCATACCCTCCTGATCTTGATGATAATTTGATAAAAATATTGAACGATGTGAGATATCAATTATCATGGATTCCCTATGAAGAATTTGAGGATATTATGCAGATAGGTAAAGGTGGATTTGCAACTGTATACAGTGTTGGTTGGTTTGATAAAGGACGAAATGTTGGATTAAGAGTTGTACTCAAAATAATTGATAATTCTGAAAAACATAATCAAGAATTTATGAGTGAGGTAAATTACTGAAGTTTATTTGTCTTAATAATGAGCTAATTAATAACCTATTCTCAATAGTTGAAAAGGTTTTGTGAAATCGGATACGAAAATCCATCATTCTTACAATGTTATGGAATATCAAGACATCCAATAGATGGAAGATATATAATTTGTTTGAAATATGCAGTTAGAGGTTCTTTACGCAAGAACCTTAAAGAAGTTTCACAGATGGAATGGGAAAAAAAACTTAATTTACTTCATTGCATTGCTACCGATCTTGAATCAATTCATTCTCAAGAAATGATTCACCGCGATTTGCATAGTGGAAATATTTTACAGGACACCTTCGATAGCGCATACATCACAGACTTAGGTCTTTCAATGTCGTCAAATGAAAAAAATGAAAGTGAAAAAATTTGTGGAATCTTACCTTATATCGATCCACGAGTTTTATGTGGTCAAAATTACTCTCAAGCTGCTGATATTTATTCGTTCGGGATGATCATGTGGGAAATCTTGTATGGTGTAACAGTATCTTATTATATTGGTGAATCAAAAAATGAAATCAATCTTCAATTTCTAATATGCAGCGAAGATTTACGGCCACCTGTTAATAAAGAAGCAACATCGTGTTATGTGAAGTTGATGAGAGAATGTTGGGACAAGGAACCTAAAAATCGGCCATCGGCAGAAAAACTCTGTGAAATTTTTAAAAAATGGCAAGATAATGAAAACATCTTATTGGAATTGGACAAATCAAAAATAAACCTTGAAGACATCGAAAAATCTTACGTTGATCTGGTTAGTAAAGGAAGTAAATTTTATCCACCCACAAAATCAATTATTGACAGTGGATTGCAAAGTCTGATCATTGATGATTAAAATAATTCAAACTAGAAATTATATAGAAAAAAAAATATTCTTATTATATATATATGTTTATCAAAATCTAAAAAATGTATTATAATTTTAAAAGATATGTAGCTAAATCAAATTTATAATATATTTTTTAAAATAAATAACCATTCACTAAAAAAATAATTAGATTGTTATATCCAGATTATGATATTTAGGTTGGTTCTACCCTAAATTGACCAGCATTATAACTAGTGCTGGCTAACTTTGTCGGTATTATGTATTTTTCGGGAATATATGGGTGAAAATTTTGATGGAAATGTTGTAATTAAGTGACATACGTAATGATTTATAAATGATTTAGTTTATAAACAGTTTCATAAGCAATTTACAGCTAAGAAAAGCGATTCCTAGTTTACGAATATCACTCAATTTTATTAATATACAGTATAACCTCAATATAATGAAGCTCTAGAGCTGGAGGTTTTCTTCGTTATATCAAACCTTTATTAGTAGTTTCGTTATATCGGGGCTAATTTAAACATAAAAATTAGAAATAATCTTCGTTATCGTTATATCGATATGTCGCGGCTGAAGCTGACCTCGATTTACCAAAACCTAACTATAAAAAAAGCCAAAAAAAACGCACCCCAAAAATTTTTGGGAATTTCATATTAAAATATTTAAAATTTCCAGCTTCAGCCGTGACAATTATTTACACGAATATAAAGTTATCAGTTAAAAAAATTTTGTTAATGAAAAAAACTTGCATTTTTATTTAAAGTTTTGCAAAACAGGTCAATGTTAAACTTGCAAAGAATATAAGTTAACAAAATAAATAAATACACAGTCATTCTCGCTGCAACACACTTAAAGCAACAACTTACCGATGTAAAACAACTAATAATGTTTTTTTCTCCGCGCCAAACACACGAAAGATTGATAACATTTGATAATAATGAGTAAGTTATTATTTTGTAAAAAAAAATTGGATGCGGAGTGTGTTCTGACCTAAAAAAAGGTCAAATTAGTTTCTCAAACCTGTTTAATAAACTCATAAATTATTGACTTGCACTTCATGTCCTTTTTTGCGGATATGTAAAAATGTAAAAAAGTTAAGATGGATTGCTGCATAGCAGCATGATCTAATGCACCAGTTTTTTGAACATTACCAATGCATCGATGATCTGCTTGTTGATAACCTGTGTGCCAAGAAAAAGGCATTTTAAGTGCATTGTAGTGTCTCAAGATTGTAACGGTAAGTTTTAATTTGGAAGTAAATTTGACACAGTAGAACTTACCACATTGTGGTAGAAATTCTACCATATTATATAATTCTTATCATATTATATCAGGGTAACCAGCCTGAAGAAGGAATCATTCAGGCATTAATGGGAAATAAGGTAAGAAAATTTCAAGAAGATTTGGTGAATGAATTGCACAAAGCCTTCAAGGCCCATGAAAAGAGAGGGATTCGAACCCCCTTGACCTTAAGATTAACGTTGTCAATGACTTCTTTGCATTTCTTGAAATACTTTCACTATCAAACCATTTAAGATCCTTATTTTAAATATGATAATAAATAATTTGAATTTATCAACATTAACTGAATTACATATTATATACCTTTTCTGGAAGTGTTTCTTGATCATTCGCTTTTACGTATCACCTAATCACTGGGAAATGTGTCATACATATTTCTTAGGAATGTACGTACGAATTCTATTTATTGCTATCAGCTATAGAAAAGAATATTATGTTTAATATTAAACTAATAAATTCTGGATGTTGTACTAAATACAAACAAACTTCAAAGTCACTTTTTAATGTACCAATTAAAGAAAATGTGATATTGGTCGTATTTGTGTGATTATTGACCTTTAGCATTTTAATTGGAAATTATTTTGTGGCGATTATCTGTTTTTTAAGTTAAAGTTTTTGACGCCAATAATTCTGGATGTTGTAATGTGGTCAGTTTGAGATAGTAGGTTGGGCTGAGGCAGTAATTTGATCATTGTTTTTTGTTTCGAACTAGAGATGTTAGGGGCGCGCTCATTTATACGAGTGATACAAGCCCAAAAGGATATCAGAGATCGTAAATTTTGTTTGCCTTGAATCAGTTTAATACAGTAATAGTCTTTAGATCTGTGACACTGATTAAAAAATGGTTGTGATAAAATTTTGCCTATAGAAACTCATTATTTTCCATACAATCACGCACCCAATTAATTAAAAATCTTTAATAATATTTTTGTATAAATTGATTTTCATTACACTGCCGTCTATAAATAGAGAATGTTGCGTGTTAATCCGCCCTTAAATCACATGAAGACATGTGACTTTTATATTGAATGCATCCTATCTCTATGATGTTAAATTAATACTATTGATAATAAGTCAGGATTATATTAGTATCAGACTACGTAGACTCATACTTTAATAACATCACAAATAACGATAATAATGTTTCGATTACTATATCAAAATGCAGAAAATGTACAACCATATGGGGAATTGAATTTAGAAAATCCACCATTTTGAGAATGTAACGGTAATTAATGTGTGTTACATTTATTATTATTGTTATATTATATATATATATATTTATAAAATGTCTTTTAAAACGAACTGTTTATGATTAATACTTAATATTCTAACGCCAATTATTATAAAAATATTTTTAAATAAATAAATAAATAAATAAATATGAAAGTTGTTGTTAGATTAAAAAATTACTGTACCGATACTGTATAATTTTCTAAACGATTAACGTAGAAACTTAAAATGGATTAAGCAAAATGATGTTATAAAGCAAATGTTTCAGATTTACTTAATGCATATGTATAACTTTTTTACAAAAGAAAAAATTATCCGTGCTTCCTAAAAAGTATAATATAAATTATAAAAAAAATTTATAGTAAATCAATTGAAGGTTTGTATATGTTGAATGTTTGAATCTTTTTGATTTGTCTGGTGAACCGTCCACCGGATGGTTCAACTCTCATATTACTTAAAAATCTGGTCTAAAAACTTAATAATTAAAATAGGTCATGATAATAAAAATTTTGTGTCACATTCTGTCCGGATGTTGTCCTATTTGCTAGAGCGACAAACATAGTCCTGAATCACTTATGTAACCAAATATGGTACGGTCTTACCTCGACTTCTACATTATATTCTGCAACATGCACCAATTATACCAATTATTTTTCTCTCATGTTTAAGTAGATATATTGACATTATTTAACTAATTAAGCTGTCTAAATTACTTACGTACGTACAGTACATATATGTGCAAAATAAAATGTAGGATGTAATTTTTTTATATATGACATACACTACGTATTTAAAATGCAATATAGCGCATAATTATAAGCATATTTTAAATCTAAAATTGAATGCATAACAGAAAAGTTATCTGACAATGACACGTGTATCATGTGACAATATACATTAAAAATTTTTATCAGGTTGTGGAGTATTTGTTTAATTTCTTAAAAGAAAAAAATAAGGTATGTGTATAGCAGTAGGGTCCTGCCGTAAGTAGATTGGTTAATTTAATCTTAATATATATTTTAGTTATATATTGTGACTCTTGGCGCAATACATTATTAATTCTTGTGAACTACCTGATCTGGTATTTGTTTTGTCGTTCCTTTCGAAAAGTTATATTATTACTTATATAGTCTGTTTTATATGTTTTCTTTATCTTTACTTTTCTCAATTAATTACCTTAAGCCATTTCAAAGGCAAATTTCTTTCCTTTAATGAAATCTCTCAACTAAGTCAATCTTAGTCCCAACTATTTTACGCTTTGAATTGAAATACTTAGGTAATCTTATTTTATTCCCAATAAATACTACTTTCCTTAAGCTTCGAGGTAAATAAAATCCCTAAATGAGTACTCATAATATTCCTGACTTCCCGCCTCCCGCTTATAAACCATATGACCAAAATTCAACCGACGATGATCGTGTACTAACAACTTCTGAAAATTTTGATCACTCTACGAAAATTAATAATAATTCTGATAATTTAATATATTCTAAAGAAATTACTGTTCATAGGAAAACAAAGAATATTGAGCGTGTAAATTCTCAAAAACAATTAGTAAGAGGTGATTCTGTTAAAAAATTGAAACAACTTGATAAACTTGAATCTACAAATGTTTATGGTTCAAAACAATCGGCTACAAATGATATTTTATCAATGTATTCTGAAAATTTTGCTCCTCATAAGACTGTACCTGCAAGGAAGCTTGATGCTGTTACACGTGTAAATTCTCAAAGAAAACTTGTAAGAGGTGATTCTGATAGAAAATTACGACAACTTGATAAGCCTGGTCCTGTAAAAGATTATGACTCTGAAAATATTACTCTTCATAAAAATGTTTCTACAAAGAAAATTGATGCTATCTCACGTGTAAATTCTCAAAGAAAACTCGTAAAAGGTGATTCTATTAGAAGATTACAACAATTTGATAACTTCGATTCTGAAAATAATCATAATTCAAATGTAGTTGAAAGACAACCAACTACTGATTATGTATTAAATTCTGAAGATGTTACACTTCATAGGAATGCTTCTGCAAGGAAACTTGATGCTATTACGCGTGTAAATTCTCAAAGAAAACTTGAAAGAGGTTATTCTACTAGAAAATTACAACAACTTGATAAATACGGTCCCGAAAACGATTATGATTCAAACTTTACATCTGATCCTAATGATATATTAAATTCTGAAGAAATTATATTAAATAGGAATGCATCTATAAAGAAACTTGAAGCTGTTACACGTGTAAATTCTCAAAGAAAACTTGAAAGAGCTTATTATACTAGAAAATTACAACAACTTGATAAATACGGTTCCGAAAGCGATTATGATTCGAACTTTACAACTGATCCTAATGATATATTAAATTATGAAGAAATTATATTAAATAGGAACGCATCTATTAGGAAGCTTGAAGCTGTGACACGTGCAAATTCACAAAGAAAATTCGCAAACATTGATTCTGTCAATGAATTACAATTCCCTGGCCAGAATAGACCTTTAAGTTTTTATGATTCGAATGTAACTGCAAGACAACCATTCACAATTTATGATCAATTCCAATCGTGGTTGATCAATGATGGTAAATAATTTCAATTTCTACAGTAAGTAATATTAATAAATATTTTAATTATTTTTTATTTTAATATTATAGGTGCCAAAAAATTATTTTTTGGTTTATGGATATTTCTCCATATCCTTGTATTTTTTATGGCTTTTCTCAATTATCTACTTAATGACGACTTGGAAAATGCTCGAAAAACTTTTGGGTTACCTTACGTAATTGCACGTTCAGCTGCATTGGTTCTACATATTGATGCTGCTATGATTTTATTTCCAGTTTGTCGAAATTTAATTACTTTACTTCGTGCCACTCCTTTAAATGGAATTATCCCCTTTGATAATAATCTTGATTTTCATCAAATTATTGGATGGTCAATTTTATTTTTCACTATAGTTCATGTAGTTTCTCATTGGATTAACTTTTATGAATTATCTAAGGAATTAAATGGTGGTATAGGAATGTGGTTTCGACTTAATTTTACTACAGGTCCTGGTGCTACGGGTTATGTAATGTTAATTTGTTTGATAATTATGGTGGCTACTTCGATAGAAAGTAAAAGACGACGTCATTTTAATCGTTTTTGGTATCTTCATCATCTTTTCATTCCTTTCTTTGGCGCTTGGTCTTTTCATGGAGCTTTCTGTATGATTAAACCAGATCGACCACCATATTGTAATGATATTGCTGTATTTTGGAAATATTGGATCGCATCTGGTGTTATTTATACTGGTGAACGTATTCTTCGTGAAATACGTGCTCGTCAAAAAACTTTTATTTCAAAAGTTATTATGCATCCTTCACGAGTTGTAGAAATTCAAATTAAAAGGGAAAATATTGTGACTAAAGCTGGTCAATATATATTTTTATGTTGTCCAGAAGTATCGCCTTGGGAATGGCATCCTTTTACTTTAACTTCTGCTCCTGAAGAAGATTATATTTCTATTCATATTCGTGTTGTCGGTGATTTCACTGAAGCTTTGGCTAAAAAACTTGGTTGTGATTTTGAAGAAGAAAAATTTTCAAAAAAAAATAGAGATTGTATAAAAAGTCAAATTGAAGGAATTGACATTTCTGCATTTAAAAAAAGTTTACCCAGAATTATGGTTGATGGTCCTTTTGGAAGTGCATCAGAGGATGTGTTCAAATTTGAAATAGCGATACTTGTTGGAGCAGGCATTGGTGTTACTCCATTCGCAAGCGTTCTTAAAAGTATCTGGTGAGTCGCGAAAATATTTATACTCTTTAAATCTATTATTTATCGCTGTTTTTCAAAATGATCATATATTAAATATTTAAAAATACACATTATTTAAAAATACACATTATTTAAAAAAATATATTATTTAAAAATTTATATTATTAAAAAATTTATATTATTTAAAAATATATTAGGTATAAAGTCAACTACCCAACAAAATCTACCATGCTTCGAAAAGCATATTTCATTTGGATTAGCCGTGACTGTAACGTGAGGATATATATTTAATAACATTATCCAGAACAGAATACTTTTATTTTTTGCCGACGATATTAATGAAAAAAAAAAAAATTTTTTTCAAGTCCCTTGAATGGTTTCACTCATTATTATTAGCTATCGAGGAACAAGATATTGAACAATTTATTGAAATTCGTACTTATTTAACTGGCCGTCTACGTGACTCTGAAGTAAGAAATATATACACTAATGACGGTGGAATAAAAGATGCTGTTACAGGTCTTAGATCACCAACACACTACGGGCGTCCTGTGTGGGATAAAATCTTTTCAGAAATGAGAGATCAAAATCCAGCTACTGATATAGGTGTTTTCTTTTGTGGGCCAAAACCCATTGGAAAACAGTTGCAAGAGAAATGCAATTCATGGAGTCAAAGTTTTGAAGACGGTACAAGGTTTTTTTATGGAAAAGGTGAGTCTTTTATTTAATATTAATATTCAATAATATATGAATAATCTTACAAACATTGTTTTTTTTTTTTTTTTATTATAAAGAAAATTTCTAAATTTAAAAACGTTAACCAATCAAATAATTATTGAACCACATATAATGAATAATACTTCAATAGAGTAATAAAAATTTAATTTTTTTCATAGATACAATAATTATTAATTAATAAACAGCTTAGTTAAAATTTGTTTGTAACAAATTACGCATATATGTATAAGTTAAAATTTGTTTGTAACAAATTACGCATATATGTATAAATAAATATAAATTATCGTTTTTTTTTATAAATCATGGAAATCTTTTCCTGCAATTGTAGCTTTAATATAACCAGTTCTAATAACGAAATCACCAAATTTTTCACCATTTATTTTTTCTTTTGCATACCGTTCTAAAATCGGTCTCAACTCTTTCAAGATATCATCCTCTTTCAAATTTTCTCTATATAACTTATTCAATCTCTGACCATAAAAACCTCCTCCTAAATATAAATTATATGTTCCTAATGCTTTTCCTACAAAGGCAATTTCTGCTATATAAGGACGAGCACAGCCATTAGGACATCCTGTCATTCTAATTGTGATCGCATCTTGTTTTAAACCCACGTCATTAATAATAATTTCTAATTTACTAACAAGTGTAGGAAGATATCTTTCAGATTCTGCCATTGCTAAACCACATGTTGGCAATGCTACACATGACATGGAATTTAATCGAATTCCAGTATGCTGCAAGTTATCTAACTTATATTTTTTCAATAGTTCTTCAATTTGTGATTTGTCCTTTTGAGTGATATTACCAAGAACAAGATGTTGATTGGGTGTTAATCGGAAATCACCTTTATGTACTTTGGCGATTTCACGTAAACCAGTTTTAATGAGGGCTCCAGGTGAATCTTTAACAACTCCATTTTCAATGTAAATACAAAAGTGCCACTTATTATCAAAACCTTTCGTCCAACCATATCGATCTGCATTGCTTTCAAAAGTATATTCACGTGGTGATTCAAGTTTATATCCTAACCTGTTTTCGACTTCATTGCGGAACCATTCCAAGCTTCTATCATCAATAGTGTATTTGAGACGTGCATGTTTTCTGTTAATTCGATCCCCAAAATCTCTTTGAACTAACATAACTTTTTCAGCAACGTCGATGGCTTGTTCAGGAGTACAGAAACCAAGAAGTTCTCCAAGGCGTGGATATGTCTTTTTGTTATTATGAGTCATTCCCATACCACCACCAACAGTAACATTATAACCTAATAATTTTTTACTAGATTTGTCTACAATCGCTATATATCCCAAGTCATTTGCAAACACATCTACATCGTTATTAGGAGGTACTGTGACTGCAATCTTAAATTTACGTGGAAGATATGTCGGTCCATATAATGGTTCAAAATCTTGCACAGCATTTCCAGCAACAATTTTATCCTCCAACCAAATTTCATGATATGCCGTTGTTCTAGGAGATAAGTGAGCACTTAACTTTTTGGAAAATTCATGTACTTGTCCATGAACTTCAGAGATGGAAGGAGTAGTACTGCACATGACATTACGATTAACATCACCACATGCTGCCAATGTGTCCAATAAACACTTATTAATACCACGAATGGTAGATCTTAAGTTACGTTTAAGAACACCGTGTAATTGAAATGCTTGTCGAGTTGTTAATTTTAATCCATTATTCGCAAGCTTTTCAGCAACCTCGTCCATTTGTAACCACTGCTTGGGCGAAGAAACTCCACCGGGAACACGGACACGTACCATAAATGAATAAGCTTTTTCTAACCCTTGTGCTTTTCGTTCATCTCGTAGATCTCTATCATCTTGTTGATAAATTCCATGGAATTTTGTCAATTTTGTATCTCTTTCACATAATGCCCCAGTGGAGGTATCTTCTAAACCTTCAGAGATTGTTCCTCTCAAAAAATTTGAATCAATTTTCATATCATCATCAGTCTTCTTTTTTTCTTCAACGGCAGTACCAAGAAGCTCAACTCCCAAAGCTTTCCAAAGTTCTGGTTCCCATGCTTGAAATCCTGTTTCATATCCATCAGAATCTTGATCGTCACCCAATCCAAGATTCAAAAGTCTTTTTCCACTCAACATTTCTAAACGAGCATCTAAATCTTTTCCAGGTTTATTATAATAAATTACATCTTCTTCTCTTGGCCAATATTTACTATCACCAAGACCAAAAACTGCGTAATGAGTTTCTGAAAAAGAAAGTTCTGTTGTAGTTGAAATAATTTTCCAGAATTCACGAGCATTTTGAGGAAATTCTCCCTGACCAGCCGTACAAACAACAAATGCTATATTCTTTTCAGAAGTAATATCCTCAATAGGGTAATCATCCATTGACATACAACGTGAATTAACACCACGGGCCTTGGCGCCTTTGTGCAGTCTCTTTGCGAGACCTTCTGCATTACCATTGTCAGAACCAAAAAGAATCAAAAGTGGTGGACCTGTTAAACCACCCAATAACTTTTCATATGCAGATATCGCGAATGATTTTTGACGTGTTTTGACTTCTGATTCAAGTGAATTTGTTAAAGTTGCAGATAATTCTGGTTTAGAACGTGTTAATTGGGTGAGAATGTTTTCTCTATCAAGGAAATCTTTAAGTTCTTGCTTAATTTTTTCAGAATCCAAGGTAAAAGGTTCTTTGTCTTCCTTTTCTAGCGCCGGATTCCATCTATATAGTGACCAATAACCACTATCAACGGCTAGTTTAGTTTCTTTTAATACAGTAATTGAACTATCATTATCACTATAATAAGGCATATACGCCAATACGATTGAAGGCCCTTTAAACTTTTCAGCCTCCATTAGAGAATGTAGAACCTGAGTATATGATGAATACAATGCCACCGAAGCAACATAAACATCACCATAATTCATCGCATATAAGCCAATATCCTTTTTGCGTTTTTCTGGATCAGCAGCAGCACGAGTTGTATAAGGTTGAGAATCAATTATTAATAAATTAATATCTTTACCGGATGAAATGATGTGATGAACACCAGATCCACCAATATCATATGTCAATGCATCTGAACCAATAATCCATTGTGAAGGTTTTGTGAATTGATCCTTTTGATTATAAATTTCTGAGAGTATCATCTGAGAATCATGAGTTTGAGCCGCCTGAGTATCATGAGTTTGAGTAAGATACTCGATAGCCTCATCACCAAATTTCCTTGATTTATCGGTATCATCTTGGTAAAGAAGCCATTGCGATAAGGCTTTTAGCAAAGGCTCAGGAATAGAAATAGAAGTATCCTTCACTGCATGCGCAACAAGATCCGCAAATTGTGCGCGCTTTTGAAGTTTAGCAATCAAAACTCCAAATGCAAATTCAGGAGTTGATTTAACAACATCTGAATGGCCAAAATTTGCAATATATAAACGATCTTTAAAAACCTCTTCAAGCATTTTGATATATGGTTTTTCAATATTTGGTAATTCGATGATTTCTTTCGAATGACCATTTACACCATTTAATTGTCGATCATCATTTCCGACAACAAAGTTCTGACGTAGTTCACCTGACTTGAGGCTTTCAAATAACGAGATAACGTCATCATCAATAGATTCTTCATTAACAGTTCCATACTTTCCACTGATTATAGCTGGAGTTTTACCTGACCAAAGAGCTTGATTTTGAAATGCTGAAACAATATCGAGATATAATGGCGTCCATTTAGTAGTACGTGCAACAACTTGTTCTAATACAGCCACTTTTTGAATCGTTTTGGGAATATTGGCGAAAATTTGATTCTCTGACCAAGGACGATATATCCTTATTTTTATTACACTGACTTTAGAGCTTTTCTTTATAGCTTTTTGTAAATATAATGAACCTGAACCAAGGGTGATTATAAGCAATTTTGAATCGGGATCACCAATATATTCAAAGCTACCATACGAACGGCCTGTTTCTTGTTTAAATTCTGTGAAAATTTGCTCAACTGTCGAAAAAAAGTCGATATTTTTATTTAATTTATTGCCATTATCATTAGTTGATTCATCTGTGCTTTGACCATTAGTTATACCAGGATCAGATGTTCTAAAATAGAGATCATCTTGTTTCTTGATTGTTTTCAAGATATCTCGATAATTTGTTACATCCACATCTTCTATAAACTTTCCAATGATATCATCTAAATGGATTAATTTCTCAGCGGAACCACGATCAAAGAAATGAATAACAGGAACACCGGTCTTAATTGCTACAGAATGAGCAATCAAAGCAATATCCAAAGTCTCTTGAGTACCAGTAGAATGTAATAAAGCACATCCGGTTTGCCTTAGGGTCATGACATCAGTATAATCTTCAATGTTTTTAACTTTATCACGATCAATAGCGATATGAATTACCACAGCAGCGCATCGGCCACTTGAGAGTTTATAAAGGTGTGGTATTGCAGGAATTAAAGTATCATTGGATGAATTAGAAGGAATAACTACTGATACAAGTGATCCTTTCGATACTGGAGAATGTAAATGTGAAAAGGGATCGGCATTTGAATAAAGAATTTCTAATTCAGTTTTTTCATTAAATATATTTTTTTTCTCTTGTTCTTGAAAATTCGTTAATTCAACGGTAACGGCACTTCTTGAAGTTAGGAAACTGGACGATTTAGGATTATTAGGTTCGATAACATAAACAGTATTGCTTGTGGCAAATGCAATTGATGCCACGGCCGTTTCTATAAAAGCCATTATTTTTGATGCCTAAATTTTGTTTTTTTTTTGGCAAAGGTAAAGGAGAAAATTTTAACGACTAATTTATAATAAATTTTTTACTAGCGCTAGATTACAAATCCAAAATTGTTTTTTATCACACAGAAGTAGATTATCTTCATTTAATTGGAAACAGGTGACAATATTCACATGCTTCCAATCCAGTTATTCTGTGTGATCGTTGATCATCCATAAACGTATTTAAAATAAATAAATTTAGAACGAAGAAGGTAATTTATTGAATGGAATGATCAACTAGCCAACTGAGTAATTGATTTAGTGGAATATCTAGAAATGTGCGGGGAACTTGGCATTATTTTATGAATCAAAAAACGATCCGAAGCCATTAACACTTGAAAAGAGCTGGTAGAAAATGAGAAGCCATAAAGAAAATAAGAGATACTGGAAAAAAGTATTTGCGGTTTCCGATTACCGTTGCATATTATTTGCTTATTAATTACGTTATATACAGTAATATGATACAGTAAAATATTATAATTATACGTTTACAGTATGATTACTGTAATAAATTTTGAGTTACGATAAATTTTGTCATATAAATAAAAAAAATGCCACATTGATTTTAATGGTTAAAAGTCATGAACTCAAATTCTTATTTATGGAAAAAATAGAATTAAAATGATGACATTATCGGACAGTACAATTTGATCATTTACTAGTAGATTTAGAGTCCAGAAAATATTCCATGATCTGGTAGGCATTTTTGAAAAATCGAAAATGAATACTGCACGATAAAATTCACGATTTTAATTCTAACACAAACCAGCTCAACTCTAAACACATATTGTGTGTACAACAGCAAGTTTCGTAAATCACAATAGAACTCACGCCCAATTCCAACTCAAACCAGCTCAACTATATACTGTGTCACATGATAATTTGTAGGCTTTGTAACAAAATTTTTTAAAGTAAATGAAGAAAAACAAACGATTGATGAAATTAGAACAATTAATGATGAAGCAACCTGAGCGAAAGAAATTGAACTTAAGAACTGTGATCATAAAGAGATAAGTATAAGAAATTCAGTTATTTTCAAAAAGTTGTTAATTATTCTTATGTTTACTATAAAAAATATCATAACAAACAAATTAAGACTACTTCGTTTACGTATTGGTGCAATTGTCGCTGTGAGCTTGAAATAATCCTCTTGGGAAGATGAGTGCATCATTTTTCCAGAAGGTTTGTTATTAGATATACTTTAAAAAAAACTTCTATGTCTAATATTATTTTTAATTAGGTACAACTAAATTCTCAATATCCTTTTATTACAGTATTACGAAAGCTAAGGACTTTATGGGAAAATATTCGATCATCAACTTTAATTAACCAAACACAAGTCAATTTAACGATTGATCTTGTAAATACAGAAAACCAAAATATGCATAATGAGGAATTGAGTACTGAAGATAGTGAATTTGAATCCGAAATTTTAAGAAAATATCTTAATGAGGTATAAAATTAATTTTTTATAAATATCTTTTATTAATTTTATGTATTAGTCGCTTGATTATCTTGAAAAGTCTAACAATCTTCCCAAGCAAAAAAAATAGCTTCGATCGAACTTTAAACCTATTTAAAATTCTGATAAATAATATGAACAAATAAATAAGTAAAAAAACTTCAATTATTTCTTCAAAATTCTCATAATTCGGTTATTCTTGTACTCAGATTGAAATTTAAAAAGTGATTACGTGCTTGATTTTGGTGGCGATGCTAGGTGCGTTTGGTCTATAATAGTGTTGGCAGGCGAAACTTAGAGGTTTCGCCACAGACGAATGGCAAAACCTAGTTTCGACTTTTGCCAAAAAA